TGAGGAGGTTAAGAATTTTGCCACCATATCTAGCAGAAGGTATTGGCTCAGCACACCCACTGTAGCCCTTTTACTAAAATGAAGAAAGATTGCAGGACTTCATTTTCCTTAGCTTGGTCACTAATATTTTCACTTACAACCTTAGCTCTAAGTTATTAACCATGTATTTGCAACTTGGAAAGTTCACAGCTATTGATCTTTCTAGTCAGCCATGAATGGCCTGGGTGGTAGCTCAACTCATACAATATTTAAAATTGAATGTCTGTGTTCCAGAAACCTAGCTCTGTGACATTCTGATGAACGAATCAACTGGGAACAAAATTCCTTCTTGCAGAAGGAGTCTGGAAGAGAAGCAATTGAGTAATGATGGTAGGGCCAAGCTGTGGCATGCAGAGTTCACACTGAGATGAGGCAGGGAAGGCACTTGTGTTTTGTTCTCCTGTCCCATGTCTACATTTCTGAGAACAGAATTATTAAACTCTTTGGCTGTACAAACCTTAGTATACCATGTATTACATCTATGATGATGAAGTTTTTGTTAATAATTTCTCTACTGCCTGTGGTCTCATCTGGGGCAAGACCCAAATCCTGTTCTTCACATATCCACCAAGTACTGGCTCACATTAGACCGTTAGAAATATTGATTGAATATCACTACCCTATCCTCACACTTTGATTCTCACTGTAGTCTTGGTTTCACTTCCTTAGAATAGTCTTCCTCCTCTCCAAGCCCATGCTTCTCCCACACACGTACCTCACCCCTGGCTCCCACCCTCCCCTCAGCAAGAAAACTTCTCTACACACTTCAGGTCTACCACCTGCAAAATCCTCTTCCCTGCATGGCCTCCAGAATAGATTACCTGCCCTTTCTAGGAGCTCTCAGGCCATTCTCTAATACCTCTGTCACAGCATGAAGCACACTGTGTTGATTGTTGTCTGTCTACTTATACCAAGAGAACCCCCATGAGTGCAGAGGCCATGTCTGGCTCATTACTGAGTGCCCAGCATGTAATAGTCATTCCATAATATTTATTGAATAAACCAATGAATGGATATATCCGTTAATATGCACCCTCTCCATTAATTAGATGAAATATTTTGCTAATTTAACATGTATTATAGAAAATTAGTGACATTTCCATTCTATTCTTCTTAAAGCTACTACTCTTCCCTCCATCCTACCTGAAAACAGCTCCCAAGAAAACTCACTCTTCTATCCAGCCAGTCCCTAGGCATTCACACAAGGATCTGTTCTGAACACAGGCACTTAGCCTTAAATTAAACCCAAATGAAAATGCAGACACACCATGTTTAAGCTAAAGCTTGAAACTTTCATAATAAAACAAAATATAGAGAGGAAATTTTAGTGGGTGAAACATTGCCTCTGTAATGGGTGGGGATGCCCATGAAAGCTCATGTGTATTTAGCAGACAAGGAGGGTTTCCCATCAGGGAGGTTGTGTATGTTGGCCCTGTACAACCCAAAGAGTATGATTTACATAGACTAAGCCTCATGGCATGGTGCCCACTCGGGGGGGTGGGGGGCGGGGGGGTACCATAAAGCAGCTGCGGTAAGGCTTCCAGCCTTGGTGAGTGACTGTGGGAAAAACCCA